CCCAAACACACCCACCTGTTGTCCCGCAAGTCCAGCTCCAGCTCCCCCACCCCCCGCCCCTGCAGCTCCTCAATCGCCGCCGCCACGTCCCGCTGCGCGCGCGCCGTGAAGCTGCGGATCGAGATCACCCCCACGCGGCGCCCGCCGGCGCGCGGCTGCAGGCTGTACCGCACCGGCGACGCCAGCTGCACCGACGGCCGCGCGACGGTGTACTCCTCGACCCGCCCGCTCGCCTTCCGCACCCGCAGGCCCACCAGCCCCCCGCCGCCGCCGCCGCCGTCGCCGCCCGCGCCGTCCGCGCCGCTGCTTGCCGCCAGCGCCGGGGGCGCGTCGTCGGCGTCTGGCGGCTCGGATATCATGGCCGCAGCCTGGAAGGGGCTGGCGCCGCCGAGGCCCCTGCCGCCCACTGCCACGAGCTGGTCCCCCTGCTCGAGGCCCGCCAGGTCAGCGGCGGAGCCCTTGCTGATGCCGACCACCCATACGTCGCCCTCGTACGCGCCGCGGTTGCCGGGCAGCTCGCGGCCCTGCGCGCGGCGCGGCAGAGGGGAAGAGTGTGTGTGTGCGGGGGGGAGGGGGGGGAGGGCGCCGAGCCTGGAGACGTCGGGCGTCACAACTGTTTGCGGCAGCTGCCAGGACTCTGCAGCGCCGGCCGGCGGGACTGTCTGCCTGGCTTCCCGATGTTGGCTCGCAGAGACGTTGCCTGCGGCCTCGGGCGCCCAGCTCCATCCAGACACCAACCCAGGACCTCCTGACATCCCCCCCCCCCGAGGCCTCCGTTTATGTCAGCAAAGCGAGGTCCTTGCGAGCTCTCATTCTCGCTTTGGCACTAATTGCTGGGCCTCAAAAGAACCCCCACTCTCCCTGCATAGACGGCTGCCCCGCCCCCCAACCCCCTGCAGCTGCGAAGCGGCGGCTCCCAGCCGCGACGCAGCCTCAGGAACCCCCATACCACGCGCGGCCTGCCGCTCGCACGGCCCCGTGCATGAGCGATTCCCCGCCCAAGCTGCCTGCCGCCCGCACGGCCCGAGCGCGCCCAGCCCACCGTCTTTTTGACGTACTCCTCTGCCGTGCCCAGGTTGAGCCCCACCCCGGTGACGTCATACTTCTTCATCGCCGCAAACTCCGACGGCGGCACCCAGCGGCAGTACGGGTCCGGCAGGCCGCGCGCCACCATGTCGCGCACGGCCCTGTCAGAAAAAGTGGGTGGGTAGGGTTTCGGGGACGAAGGGGAGGGGAGGGGCGAAGGCTGAGGCGGGGAGGTTGCGTGGGCAGCGATGGGCGGAGGCGGGGCTTAGGCGGCCGCCAACGGCGGTGGCCGGCGCGCACGGCGCAGCGTCTGTCTTATCATCGCGCGTGAGCTCTCAGCAGTGGCGCTGCGTGTAAACATCAGCAGTGGCGCTGCGTGCCAACATACTTACTGCACCCCCCTTGGTCCCTCAAAGCGGCGCCGCCGCGCCCACCTGTGCACCGCGGCGGTGTCCTTGTATTTCCGTGCGAGGGCCCTGTCCCTCAGGGCCGCCCACTGCCCGCGGTCAAACCCGGCTTGCCGCGCGTCCTGCGGGCCGGATGAGCGCAGAAGCAAGTGACGCTGGGTCGGCCCAGGTCCAGCGGCAGCGTGCAGACGCGCGCACGAAGAACCCCTCCCGACCGGCTGGTGCCATCAGCCACCTCAGACCACCGCCGCGCATCAATTCTCCCCCTCGCCCACGCCCTCTGCCCTCTCGCTCCCCGACGCGCAGGCGGCCGCGCGCCGGCACCGCTGCCACGCGCAAGCCAGCCGCGCCCCCCCGCGCGCGCGCGCACCGCGGGCGCACCATATACGATGCGTCCACGACGGCCCAGACCTCGTTGATGAGCGTCTCAGCCGACCGCTGCACGCTTTCGCTCGCCTGCAGGGCGTCATTGCGCGCGAAACGCAGGCGCGCGTGTCGCCGAAGCTGCGGGCGGCCGGCGCCCTGTGCCACCAAGCAGGACAAGGCGCATGCGCCAGCGCCGGCAAGACCTGTGCTCCCTGGATCACGCACGTTTGGGCGCATGGCTGCCCCCACACCGCCCAGCTGACTGGGGGCACCACACCGCTCCGCCCTGACGACTGCGATGAGTCAGATCTGACAATGTTGATAGCATCACCGCGCACCTTCACGTTGGGCCCGTCCAGCGTGCTGCTGATGGCGTCCACCGCGGAGTCCAGCCGCGCCCCCACCTGCCGGGCAGCTTCCAAGATTCCGTCCTCCATTTCGGACGACTGGTCGAACCGCCAGTCGAGCCGCCGCTGCTGCTGCTGCTGCTGCTGCTGCTGCTGCAGCAGCTGCTGCTGCTGCCCCTGCTGCTGCTGTTCCTGCACGTGCCACTGCTGCTGCCGCTGCGCCACCGCAGGCAACGCAGGCCCCAACATAGCGGAGGCGGAGGGTCCACTGGCGCCGCCGCCGTCGGGGCCAAGGGCGGTCAGCGCAACGGCGTGCCGCTGTCCCCCAGGCTGCGAATAGCCCAGTATGCCGCTGCTGGTGCTGCTGCTGCCGCTGCTGGCCTCGGGCGCCGCCGCCACTCGGACCAGGGCCGTCTCAGGGCCCACTAGTGCGTGCGCCGCCGGGACAGCCTGCAGGGTGCAGGCGCTGGACAGCAGCAGCGCAGTGGCCAAGGCAACGCACGCGGCCTGCTGCGCGGAGCCTTGCCATCCGCCTGGCGGGTCGGGTGGATCATGGACAGGCGACGCATGGCGGAGGCACGAAGGCGCAGCAATTTCAGCTCTAGCAATGCGTGCTGCGTTGGTGAACATTTGATACTCGAGGGTTGAAATGACGTGCCATCAGCATGCCAGCCGCGGTTGGTAACAAGGCAAAACCGCCGTTGGCCGGCGTGGCGCCAATCTGCGACAGCACTCACCGCCCACACCGGCGCAGTGCGCCACAAGCTGCGCCCAGAAGCCGCGCAGAAGACCAAGCTGCTGCGGCAAGGGGTCTTCGCCTGCGCCCGCAGCTGGTTCGCTGGCGTGGTCTCGCCGCGCCTCAAGCCGATCGCACGAAGCCTGCGCGCCCTGCTGCGCGGCATCACCATCGTGCTGCTGGCACCTCGCTGCGTGCAATTTATCCGCTGGCACGGCTATACGGGGTCTGTTTAGTGCGCGGCCCTTGGTGAGAACGCCACCTGCTTGAGGACAGGGCCGGAGCAGCCTTGTGTGGACCACATCGTGAGCCACGCAGGCTTTGCTGCGCATGACGCACAATCTCGACTCAGTCGTAAAAATCCAGATCACAAATTCTTACGTACTGTACAACCTGTGTGTCAGGCTCGACAAACAACATATCAGGTTAGGACACGGTGTGACGATATTCATTATTTAATATTCAACTGTGGTTCTCGCGCTTGTGACGCACCTTCAGCACCTGCTCCACCCCGCGGCCTGCAGTATCACCCGAGCCTGCTGACCACAGCAGAACAACACGGATATTAGAGCGAAGCCCTTGCTGCAGTGCCGGCCAGCATGGCGCCCCACAAGCTGCTGTATGCCGCGGTCGCGCGTGGCACGACAGTGCTCGCAGAAGTAAAGTGAGCGCGGCGCTGTGCTTCCGAGGCGGCGCAGCAGCGATACAGCGGTCTATCACAGGTCTCAGCAGCCATAGTTGCCACCAGGGACTGGGGCACGCTGTGCATGCGTGCCGAAGCGGCATGACGCTGCAGTCGGACCCTGTGCGCCTCGCCCACGTGCGCTGCAGTGCACACGCCCGCCCGAATAAGTGCGGTGCGTCACGCGCCCCCCCCCTTCCAAAACACAGCTACACAACAGGTAACGCGCCCCAGATTGCGCTGCGGATCCTGGAGAAGCTGCCGCAGGAGGACACGTGAGCGATGGGCGCGGGGTGATGCATGGCTGGGGGCGGGGTGCCATAGCTTAGGAAGGCCAGCGCGCACTCAGCCAAGGCAGAGCAGTCACCGTGGGCCCCGCTTCCTCTCTTGGACCTGTCATGTGGACCCCTCCCTCTCCTCACGGCTGCCGCTGCTGCCCACGCCACCCGCCTCCTGTTGCGATTTTGTGCCGCTGCCCTCAGCCGCATCTCCTACGCTCAGGGTCAGGTGGGTGGGGGCCGTCCTGCAGCCGCCTCTGCGGGCGCCTCCGCCCTCCGTTGCGCCCCCAGCCTCACAATCATCGATGGTTCATCGCCTGCCTTGCGCTTGCCGCACCCTCATGCCTCCGCCTGCCCGCTATTTCGTGCCCACGCGGCGGGGCCCCGCCTTTGCCACCCCCCATACAGCACTCTCATTCACACACACACACACACACACACACACACCTCATCATCCCTCATCGCAGCACATGTACCACTGCCTAGTGACCGACGGCGTGTCGTTTATATGCATGACTGAGGAGGCCCTGGGCCGCCGCATCCCTTTTGCATTCCTGGATGATGTCAGCCAGCGGTTCCTGGGCAGCTACGGCTCCGCCAGAGAGGTGCGGCATGTGGCGTCGGTCGCAGGGGAACGCAGCCCGCGCCTGCCCCCGGTGATCGCGTCACATTTATTGCAGTTCTACATGTATGCCCGTAGCTGCTGTGGGCTGAGCGCAGCAGAGCCGCCCCCTACTCGGGTGTGATGTGTGGGTTGTGACTTCCCCCCGTCCACATACAAACAAAACCCTTCGTATCAAAGTGAGCCCCCCCTCATAACCACCCAAGGCGGTGGCCTACGAGTTCAACACGGAGTTCAGCGTGGTGCTGGGGCAGAGGGCCGACTTTTACAGCAGCGACCCCGCAGCAGACACCATCAACCGCGTGCGCGGCGAGATCAGCCAGGTGCGTGAAGCCAGGGGGCGCGGGACGCCGCGCCTCGCCGCCGCGCGCCGCTGGTGGGCGGCGTGGCTGTCTCAGGCACGTCGGGGCTGCCTTCCAGCTGGAGCCGGCCGGCGCCCGCTGTACTTTCATCTCACGACCCTCGTGTTGAGGTCTGCCTATTGATGTCAGTTCTTATCTCGAGCCACCCTCTTGACCCGACGCCCGATTTCACCACCTAGCAACTCCCCCTCCTGCTCGCGGCCACACCCCTCAACGGCTCCTGCAAGGCCCGGCCGCCCTCCCCAGGCACCCTCCAGTGCATCCAGCTGCGACCCGACCCTGGACCCCCACCCCCCACC